CAGCTAAGGCTGCTAAAGTTAAAGCTAACAGACTCTATAAACTCTATTTAAAAAGCTTTCAGCAAAGAGAATGTAACACCCTTTCCAGAACACATACACTGGGAGAGGCTTTTCTCATGACTCACAGCTAGGAGAGTGTCCGTTCTTATTAGCAATAGTGACACAACGCAACCTCAACCCAGTGTTGCTAACTCCTCAGTAAGGAAATTCGCTACTGGCTGTCCTAAAAGTCGCTAGAAGTCGCTAAATGACGTCATCGCCTAATTTGCATAATTGGTCATGGTAATGTAATTGTGACCTATGTTGTAGGAGAGAAAAATAACATTGTGGAAGAGACATAAAGTGAGCTAACAACGTCCTAAATGCATTTAGAGTTTATTTAGAACTACAAATTAAATTTCTTTTAGGAATTATTGTTTTTTTAACGCCACAATTCCAACCCTACTCCTTTATCCGGGTTAGACCGGCAAAAGTGACTCGAAATAGGCACTCTGGTGGAGTTACTTTGTCTGTGTGTGTTTATAAGTAGTTTTAAACTTTGTGACCCACAACAACATAACAGTAAAAGAAGAACTGACTGCGTTACAGTCAGTATGGGAGTAGCGGCTTTGCTCATGTGCGATTCATTTGCAGTTTGGACGCATAGATGGGAACATCTCCTGCCCTGATAGCAGCTGGGGGAGGACAATCCTCCGCCTACTTTTGCACGAGCGAGGTGCCCACGGCGGCACCCGCTGCTTGTTGAGAGTAAGAGCGATACACGTTTTCACGTCAAAAAATCGTCATAAATGAGTCTCCAATAACACCAGAAAAAGTTGCCAGATTTGTCGCTAGTCGCTTTTTAGAAAAAAAGTCGCTAAGGGGGTTTGAAAACTCTCTAAATATAGCGACAAAGTCGCTAAGTTGGCAACGCTACCTCAACCTCGCCCTACAGGTCCTAAACAAATAGATCAAATCACCGGTTAGACACACATACAGAAATTCTTTGATTTACTAGTGAGGGATTATTAGGCTAATGGATAGACTAATTTATGGATAGCTCTCTAATAATAAATTCAGTATTCCAGATAAAAGGATGAGGAGTGGGAATGAATTCTGTTATTTTGAGGTAACTAGTTAAACATTGCTATAAATGCTGTGCATACTTTTTAAACTGTTTGATCTGTACTTTCACTCAAGGAAGAAACAAACTACTTCCACATAACTCAAAGGATCGATGATTTTTTAGTGGACTGTAGCATACTCAGGCAGTTTGGCAGTGGACCCACTACGGAACTTGAACCCCATTTCCTCTCAAGCTGTGATCAAATGAAAGCATTTGCTTGTTGACAAGCTAATTAGCACAAAGTATGACTGCCACTCCAGGATCCTGCTAGTAGCTGCATGTAGCCTTAAAGAGATTGGATGGTCTTGGCTGGGTTCACTTCCTCTTTGATGGGTTGTGTTTGAGCCTTGCCAAAGCAGGTAATGATACTACACTGGCAGTCACAGAGCACACTGCTGAGCGTGTTCCCCTCAGGTCTCCGCATTGCCAAAGATAAAAATTCAAGACATGTAAAGGTCTTTAGTGAAGTAAAGTGAGGTACTCTATTTTTTGATGTATACATGCTTACATTTAGCTTGGAGGCTTAAAAAGTACAAACGTGTCAGGCAAGGATCACGCCTGGATGATTTAATGTTCCAAATATACAGACAGTGAGAAAATTCAAACGCAAGTTTAGGCTCATACCCTTGAGGCATTCATTATGACACGGAACTATGCGTGAGTACATAGTTATTCACTCGACTTTCGCTGATCTGCTATTATATTTCAGTAAAAATAAGTTGCATTTGACCTTTTTTTTTGCATTGTGTGTGATATTTAACAAACTTTCAAAGGTTAAAGTAGCAGTGGCCTTATCTACCAGTGCCTCATTGTGGTCAGGCCTGTGTTTTAGTTTTGTCTTCTGAGCAGCAGAGACTTGGCAGGGTACTTTCTTCAGAGGAAGGAGGTCACAAGTCTGCTCACAGTGTCAAGAGCATGTGCTGTGTGGTTTGGAATAAGAGATTGCATGGTGCTTATTGAATGTGCCTTACAATGTGGCATTGCAAGATAATTGGACCAGGCTCAGAGGTAGTCTTCCACTTCCTCAGTCGATTAAAGACATGGAACATATAGGAAGCAAAGAAACATACTGGGTGATGCATTTGATAGTCTAACACAATAAATGTAAGGTAAACCTGTAAGGAAAGAGCTAAATGATGGTGGTAATAAAAAAAATATATAACAAAAAATGACAGAGGGAGACGATGTGTGTCTTACTTGCCCTGTCGGGCAAACGAGCCAGACGATAGAGAGCATTCCTGGTTATTTTCCAGAGATAAAATTGCAGTACAGAGGAGTGGAAAGACTTAAAACACAGCACTGCGGGGAGATGAGCTCACTCATTTTCCCCTTGTAGGCCTCTGGCTCAACTTCATATGCTCTCACAAACACACACACACACACACACACACAGATATAAACTGAATCATGACGCAGATTTACAAGCTCTGCACAGCAATAAACGCAGACAATTCGGATTAAATAACGTTTGGCATCCTGTACGTGCATGTGCGTAAAGAAGTGTGAAAGGTAAATAATGACTATTATGATTATATCCGTGCATTGTTCAGTGCTTGAACACAATCCAGTATCCCAATGCTTTCTTAACTCCCCCTTGCAGAACACAGTTAAACAATCAGGGCTCGAACTACAAACTAGGCCAGCAGTCACATTCTGAATGACCCCTTGAAACTTCAAGTTCACTGGATGCACAAACAGCCTTGATTTTATAAGGTGATCAGCAATGGACACTCCCTAATGTAGTGCTTTAATGATGGTGCAGTGTCTAACACATCTGTTTAAAATCCTCCTTATGTGTCCGATATCTGTTGAATGTGCAAAGCATACAGTTCACATTCACATTTATGTGCTAAAAATTAGTTTGCATCACAGGATATAGGGGACCACTCAGAATATCTCAGCATTGATTTTAAGGACCTACAGTAAACCAGCCAAATAGTCCCAACACAGTAAAAATCACAAAGGAGGGAAACGAGATAAAGGCAGCAACTAAAAACACGTTAAGTAGGTACGGCACAAGCAAGAAAGCACAATGCAGGTACAGACAGAGGGAGCTACAACCATCCATACATAACTCATGTGCTACAGACTGGATGCTGTCAATACTTTATGGTGAAAAATGTCACCATTTTGACTTTAACTATGTGGACTAGACAGCTGGTTAGACTCTAGTACTCCAGCTTGACTCTTCAACACTAGTTTTACTTAAATCTGCTTTCCTGCTGCAATGTCAGGAAATTACCAGCAAGCAGTGATTTGGATGACACGGAGGAATTGTGTGTGTGGCCTGGGACTAAGTATTATTGCTGCACTTGAGAAAGCACTAACTTTCAACCACTGGAGGGAAGAACTCAGGGGAACTGCGAGCTGACTCAGTCTCATCTAAAATGCTCCGACTAGGGCCTCCCAAGGGGGTCCCACTCCTCCACAAAGTTCCCTTCAGAGCTCAGCCAACTATGGAGGATTGCTCGGCCCCCCAAGTGATATCACAGATCCGGCCCCCAGAAAATACTGGCAGTGCGATAAGGGAGCACGGCAGTTGAAAGCAAAATATAGAAAGAAAGAAACGATAAAATACATTTCTTCACTCTTGCTTGTTTTCTGGGGTTTCTGTGTCCTTCTCGCACACTTTATACTCATGGTTACACATGCACGTTCTCCCCGACACCGACAAACAGTCAAGCTAGCGTTTCATCATGCATGCAGACATGTTTCTTCTATACCAACTACACAACCTCAAATGACTGACGGATCATAAAGAGGAACAAAACCGCACATGGTAAACACACACGCCTCTTTGCCACAGCCTGACCACGCAGCTACCAAAAGCCACCAGCGTTGCACACGCAGGGTGTAATTACGCTCTTTTCTTTGTTGCCTTGGGGCCTTCATACTTACAGGGCGCATACCCACACAGACAGACACGTGTCAGAGGATACACATCCTGTTTAGAACTTTTGCTTTAGGCAATAAAGGCACATCTTTGCAACTTCACTGTCATTTTAACATTTAAATGAACTGCTAGAAAAAGAAAGAGTTTGAGGGCAACATGTTCCTTTTTGTGACCTTTATGATTCAGTAGCATTTTGTTCACAGCTTGTACAACAGGAAAACTTAATAAATAAGAAGGATACAAAAAGAGCTCCACAAAAGATATGCACTTGATTTTCCTTTTGTACAGTCAGTACCCATTTGGAAAAATAAAAGAGAAAAATAAACTCTCCAGTGCACTCGTTTACTGATTTGCTTAGAGCTCAATGGGACATTCTGTCCATGCAAGCTGAGCCTAAAGCTAGTATCTTGTTAGTTTAATTTAGCTTTGCAAAAGCAGCAAGCTTACTTACTAGCTTAATATTTATTTAGGTAACAGGTAAGCTTTTATCTAACCACTTTTATTTAAGCAAACCGTGAATCATTACCCAACAATATATCATCATCGCTGATGATTAGAGCCTGACTAATGTATCGGCAGGTCGATATTATCTGCCCATATTAGCTATTAGCAAACCTGTTAGCATCAATGAAAAACCGACTGAAAATTATGAAAATAATTTAATTAATATGCAGACTACATTATAATCGTAAAAGCTCATTTGAAAAGTAACGAAGAGACAGGAGAAACATCATTAGAGTCAAGCACAATAGGCAGAAATCATTACAAAAAGGGTTTAGGTTAGCATAAATAAGACAGCAGTTACAGTGTCCATGCTTTTTTATGCACAGCCACAAGAGGGCGCACCCCTGTTTTAGATATTTTTCTTAGTATAATTATTGTTTTGTTTTTTTAAATCAGATTATTCCTTTTGTTAAACAAAACATTGTTCAAAATTTTACATTTCATTACCTATGCAAATAAATAACTAGGGTTTACATCTTCTGGAAAGGCTTGACTCACCTTGTTCGGACACCAGAGGGTCACACGATCCAAAGATGATGGCCAGCAGAGCCAGAGAGGAGCAGAGAAGCCACATGGTTTCACTCCTCCAAAAAACACCACCTCACCTCACTCCAGCCACCAGCTGATGGATAAACACAGAGAAAAAGGGAAAGTCAAAAAAGTCAAATCCCTCCTTCATTCTGTCAACATGCCACCCAGTTTGCTTACTCTGCCGACAGCTGTGCATTATGCTTGACTCCTAAATAGACGTTGATGTATATTTATGAGTCAGTCACAGTTGATGTGTTAATTATGTAGTATGATGCGGGCTTTGTTAGTGGCATATGAATTAACCAGAATGGTCCTCATTATGTTGTGTAACTCTATAAAGTCTGATCATAGTCATTATCCTGTCCATCTGGTTGGCCTTTGACTGGGCAGCTGCTACACACACTCTGACACATACATGTGAATATAACTATATATATATAGCCACATTTGACCATGAGCACATGCGCTTATTGACGCAAACAAAGCAGCAAATGCAAGACAACAAAGCAAAAGATGCACATGAAAGCAAAATGATTTACATGCAGGACGGTTGGTCTAGAGTCAAACAGACAGAGGGGCCAAAACACACAAACACATCTGGAGACTATTCCACTGGAGCCATTGTTCTGCTGTACCAGATGCTTCCACGTGGCCAAACAACAGGCACACAGACACACACACAAAGGCATGCATAGATTAAAATGCACGCCACGTATAAATAATCATTATATCTTGGCTGCGCAGTCTCTCTCCCTTACTACAGTAGCTCATTTATAAACGCACACAAGAATGTACGTGCATAAACACGCTAATCCCGCCCACTTACATATAACCCGCGTAAACACATCCCAGCTGACCTGGACTTGCCCTCGGCATGTGCTAGGACCCCATAATTCTGTAGTGTTTACAGGTTCAGCAGGGCCCTCAAGGCAGGCAGGCAAGCAGACTGTATCTCTGAACACACACCTGTGCTGTCTGCCAGGAGAAATGACCCCCACACTCTCCTGGGGCTACACAATGTGGTGTGTGAATACTATCCAGCTTGACCTAACTTCTGTAGCAAGCTGTTAAAAGACAATATGGTGGAGGACGGTGCTTCAAATTATGTTCTGGAGAAACAGAGACAGCCTGACCTGCCCCAGACTTTCATTTGGAGTATGCAGTCCACTTTGGGAGCCGTTGACTTAAGTAGTGTGGCTCAGTTCAAATACTTCACTTCGTATATTTTCATGTACCATAATATGTAGACAATGTGCTTGTATGCACAGTGTACTGCGAAGAAATTTTGACAGGTTAGCTACATTAAACACTGTAAACTTTGAACTAAGAATACGAACGGTGTCAACTATAGCCTGCAGGGGTGTTGCCGGGCCTGTGGTGCTTTATCTTTATTTCATATTAACTAGTGAGTCAAACAAAATTCTGCTGCAGATAATAATATTGGTGACCGTTAGGTGATGCACAGGTAATGTAAGCTGAACAAAACATGCAAAACAAACAGGGAACCTAACATTGTTTTTGGAATAACGAATACGAAAATCCCAAAGATTTGGATTTGTAAGAAATGCTTTTTAAATACATATATATGTTAAAAATTGCTAACTATTGTTGAGAATACATACGCTACAATCAGTGTAGTAAGAAAAAGACGGTGTTTGAAATATTAGACTTCGACGTCATGCTAGCTGCTCCATTTTCGTAACTATCGTAACCTACGTTATATTAAATTTGGTCCCACATAATACTACATTTTTCAGCAGGGACGATGGCACTATTAGGCACATAAATACAAAACAATATCATAATAAATTAACATAATGTATTTCCTGTAATTCTTTTTTTAAACTGCTGCTGCTGTTAGCTTGCTAAGCTAGCACTGACGTCATCATTGACGTCAACTGGTTATGGACAAATCAAGTGTGTGATCATGTATGAGTTGTATAGTTTTAATGTTTTATTTGGGAACAGAATGGTGTGTATGTGTAAGTTTGGTGATGGAGTTTTTATTATGAATGAATGATGATTTTTTTATGAATTATTATGTCTATTTTTTATGCTTAAGGACAACAGATGGAAATTAGCCCTTGGCTATAATCTGGTATGTTTACATTCATGTAATTTTTTTTTTACATTTATGTTCATTAACATGCACTGTCCTAAATAAATAAATAAATCATTAATGGTGATATAATATGATGGTTTCGTTGAATAAAAATAGTTTAGTAGTCAAGACGGTAAGAGTGAACACAATTTGCTCTTAACTTTTTGGCCCATTCTGCGTACACCATCGTACTCCTGGAGCAATTCATTTAGCCATGATGATAGGAACACTATTATGCATGCAATATTGCAAATTCAAGTACCCTGAGACACAGCACAGGTGTGGTTGCTTTTTCTTCCATATTTTTTATTTTAGGTTACCGGTTTATTTAAGAACCAAGGTCTTTGCAAGATCCTGTACAATCATGCTAAGCCACAAATGATCTGTCGGCACTACTGTTGCCAGCATGTGTACTATTAAGGTGAAACTCTCTAGTTAGCTAAACGACAAGAAGAATACGTTGAAAAACGTGTTTTCTCCTGCAGCCGGATGGGTGGGAAGTTAATCAAACCTTAGACAGCTATGTTTGAGCAGTCTGAAGCTACAGCCATTATTATAGGCTTCATGCCACATGATCACAATAATAAGAAAGTTCACACAGTACATAATGCATAATGCATCACAGTCCGCAGAACACAAGCTGGGGGAAAAGTTACAGCTCATTGCTATTATTATCTGGCCATAATCCAAAACAGTTTAATAGGTTTCCTGATATAAGTTGCTATGGATGTGTCTCTTTCCATTTCTGTCTCTGCACTGCATTCATAGCTTGCAATAACAGATACAGTAAAGCCAGGATGGGGTTATGCCACTGGGCTTGCCACAGGCCCGGCCATGACTCAGTGAGCATGCCTGTGAGTGATTGGGTCACTGGTTATGGATAAGACACAGGAAGGAAAACAGGAACCGATGTCTTACTGTTATAGCTCTAAAAGCCGAAAGACAAGGAGTAAAAGACAGAAGTAATGACCAGCATCCACAATCACAGCCCAGCCCAGTAGTACCAGTACTTTTTATGGATTTGAATACACATGCAGAATGAGCCATTGACACAGTCTCACATAATAACCGAGGCTCTTGTGCTCAGGGCTTAGCAATTTTCACTGTCCTGCATTTCATCACAATTGCCACTGTTTACAGATGGAACAACATCTCTAGCACAAGCCTGTTTAGAGGAACACATTCTGACAGAGTTAAATGAAACATGTCCACTTTATGGCCTGACAAGAGAATTGCTTTCATTGCTTATTAGCCACCCAGACATGGATGATTAAATAACAGTGATCCAACAGCCCACTGTTTAGAATAGTTTGCATCTCTTTAGATTGAAGAACCCGGTGTAAATGTGTCTGTCATTCACTATCTGAGGGTTCATTGCTTTTCCAGCTGTCTCTCACAGCATCCAGAAGCAAGAAGACTGATAGGGGGCAGTTTACAATCTAGTCTGCTTCCAATCTACTCTTGGCTATCACACAAGAAAACACAATCCAAGAGTGGTATTGCTGCTGAGTTGTGAAAGCAACTTCCTGATTGGCCGCCAGTTTGTCACCCTGGCTCAAAATCCTCAAGGGAAGTTCTCTCTGAGAAGAGGCTGTACATGGAATTCAGCCATCAAACAGAAGCCCTGCCTTATCGGTCAGGTAGATCGCCTGTGTGCGTTCGTGTAAAGTACAACATGTGTTCTACAGAAGGCAAAAGGGGCTGCCATACAGAGTGGTCAGACATACTGATTAGGAAGTCAACAGAGGCTCATTTATGCAGATGAGCACACACACAGTGACTCAAGCCATTTAACACCATGCTCCAGAAGCTACCGTTCAACAACACAATCACACTCAATTTCTGTTTACGAGGTGCTTCAAAATCAGCTCTGCTAATTGTTAGTGTGAGTAAGGTTGGTCAATTCTTATTGTGAGAAAACTAAAATAATTGTTGGGCTGCTGTGAGCCCTGCATTCCTCCAGAGAATGCATGGCTGAAAAAAACTAGAGTCTACTTGCCTAGAGTGTCTATAGCAGTTCTGCATAGCTGTAATACAGATGTTATGCTAAAATGCTGATTTAAATATTGACGCTTACTACATTCAATATCTTCATTTAGCGTGTACCAGTGAGATTTAGAACTAAACACAAATGCATGCAAGTAGAAATACACTACAAGAAAACTTTAACTTAGACCCTATAATGGTCATTTATGGTCAGATGGATCAGAGGGTTCGCAGTTTACAATAAGTTACTCCTGAGGGGAACATGAGTGTGTCGATCAGACCAGTCATGGATCAGTCATGGAAATCCATCCGGTGGTTTTTGAGACTCCAAACCAAAAATCTGAACCTTATGCTGAAGGAAAAGGGTAAAAAGGCAAAGTCATCAAAGTCTGGGATTCACCCTCTAAGTAAAGTTTACATTTCTCTCAATGTTTCTGACCTGAATGCAGTTCTAAGTACACTCATAGGTTCAAACAATACTAGTTACACTACTGCTGGATGTCGACGTCGGTCAAAATGCTGTTTCCCAACATGCATTTTGCTTTGAAGACATGAACGTGCACACTCTGTATCTGAAAGTTTTGAGCTTCTCACAAACTTGTTTTAACTTTAAATAAAAGTAGCTGAAGTGGGCCCCGAGGGCTTAGCACTCCAAATATCAACTGACTGCAAGCAAAAACCTTCAAACTAGCGAAGGTAATATCCAAACCTGTGTAACACTGAAAAGAGACTGAGGCAAGTTTTTACTAGTCTTACATTCTGGGCAGTGTTCAAGGGCTTTATTTGAATATTTGCTAGTGTGAATCAGACCAGGAAAGGAACTGAGCACTAAATACATAAAACTCTTTCCTGTGATTGCTCAGGGCTACCTTCCAATGCCACGGACACCTACGGCCCTTTTGCAAACGCAACGAAGCAAAGTTAGTCCTAATCTGATGACATGACCCGGTTGGCTCCTAGCCTATGTTGTGGATGAAGTCAGCCTGGAGAGAGCAGATGACTTGCCGATTTTCTTCAGCTTGACTTTACATTTCCGCCTAATGTTCACTTCACAGCTGAACTGAATGAGCAAGGAGTCAAGGGGACGATACAATTTCCTGTAGACCCAACAAAAGCTGGTATGGAAGATATATGTAGGAGAACATACCACCCTGTGGCCTACAGCTATGCATTGCACAGACAGCCTCCAGCAGGTTAAGTGAGCAACACTTAATGGGCATAGATTTGTAACATTTGTAACAGGGCTATGAGGAGACTACTGGTGGTAGGAGAGTTCTGTTACATACCAGGGTTTCCAAGCTTGCATGTGCAAGTTTCTTTTAGTTAAAATGACCCTTAAATAAAACCAGAATCCCACTTGGACAACGGGGAAACGTGGAAAATGTTCCACATTTTGAAGGAGGAGGGTGAAAACAAAAAAAAAAAGAGTAGGAGGATTTATTTTTTTAATGTGAGTCGTGGGGTGCAGACAGGATGCAAAATCCAGCAAACATGGGGGATAGCTGAGTAATTAGGAAAGCAGATGTTACTGCGGTATTCAAGCCCCCCACTCCTCTGCTGTTCATGTTCTTTCCCAAGAAGTGAAAAGAAGTTTTAGAGACCGATCCGAGATCATTCCAAAGCTGATTACTTTTTTCGAATGATATGCATGTAGTGGGAAAAAAACCCCAGTGTACTTAGGAGGCTTTTCCATGCCACAGGGGGTTGCATGCCATCCAAACAAAACAGCAACACCTCAGCCGTTCTGTGCCCATGCCTGGCTTATTAGATGTGAAGGAAAAATCAGCATCACTTTTGCCAGGAGCTAGTCGTTTTCTTGCAAAATCCAATAAAGGAATACTAGCTTACTACAACTACACGAGTCAGAGCGGCCGAGAACATACAACTTTAATGATCTCCGCTGAGAGAAAGCAACTTTAGAGTACCTTTGCTCAGTATCCCAGATTTTTTGGTGTGTGGTACAACCCCACAGTATGGTATCCCCACGTGATGTTGCCCACTGTAAGCAGTCTTTGCTGCTACAACACTTCCATCACTAAAGTTCCGCTGCACTTCACTAACTTGTCTTTACATCTCCGACGGATGTGGCAAAAAAAAAAAAAAGCATCGCTTTTTAAACGAAAGGTTAAAACGACAGAGAGCATGTAAAAGCCTTACCTTCAATTTTTGATAAATCCACAAGTTTGCGACCACATTAATCCGCTGTTGTGTGTGTATAGATCCAAGGTCCGGCTTGGGAATCCTGCAGGGCGATGCAAATGCAGACAAATGTAATCCAGCCTAGTTTTTGTCCCCTTGACTTTTTTTTTTCTTGAGTCTTCTTCCACAGAGAAAGGAAAGAGGGAAAAAAAGTTACAGCAAGATTAGCCGTGTCCAACTTTCTTTCCCCTCCCCTCTCTGCTGATCCCAAGTGTCTTTCTCCCTCTCTCGCCTCCTCTTTGCTCTCTGTTGTCTGTCTCTCGGTTTCTTATTACTTTTTTCCTCCCCTTGGTCTCTGTCTATTCCTCCAGCCTGTCTCTCTTCCAGTCTCCCTCCAACCCCCCCCCTCCTTACCTCTCCTCTCCTCTCCTCTCCTCTTTCTCCCTGCTCTCTCCCCCTCTCTTTGGGAGATCTCTCTCAAACATGTGGTGACATCAACTTGTCCACAAGGCTGGAAAATAAGCCCTGGGCATCTCTCTAATCTTTCTGGCAAGCTGTTCCAGGCCTCTCTACCCTCTCTTTACCCTCTACCCCCATCATCTTACCTCCATCTCCCCCTCACCTCTTACTATTTGATTCATGACATACCAGAAAAACAGACTTGCTTCTATTCTGCCTGGGTTAAAGCACTGTATTAGGAAAAGAAATACAGATTAGGCTCTCCTGGTTGGTGCATTATGGAGAGGAATTTACTCCATTAAAATTAATGAACTTACTTATCATACTTACTTATGATTGAAGGCCACATCCACAGCTTCCATATTGTTTTATCACTCGCTTTTATTGCATCCAATCCATAAAGTGGCCTCGGTTGGAGCCCCTGACCACCCAGAAACACCAGTCCTAACAGCCACATAAATTCCACCTTTATTGTCAATAAGTAAATAGTTCAAGAGGCGAATAAATATCACTTTGTCTTTTGATTTATGCGTACCTCCCTTCAGATGGTATGGAAGAATAGGTAGAGGAGTGTGCTCACATCTCCAAGATATTTATTTCTGTCCTCTGTTGAGAGGTCAACATCTCTACTGAGCAGTTATCCTTAACTCTCTCATTAGCTTTTACCCCTAGTTTAAAAAAAAGAATAAAGGAAAATGTGAAAACTCTCTAAGTAGCATCCGTCCACTCAAATTGTTTCACTTCTGTCTAATGAAGCTGAAAATGCTTTGAACTAGATGCTTACCCAGAGGTGTCCTCTTTGAACTAAAAACACTGGTGGAAAGCAAGGTCATTCAGCCACTACCAATGGGGAATCTGGACAAATGCGTGCATATGTCTTTGTATGGTTTGACGGCATAAGCAAAGAAAGAAAGGAACTGAAAAGGTGTGGCTTCCCCTATTTCACAGAGCATGTTGACAAATGATGTGTTGAAGTTTAACTCTGACCAGACAATAAAAGTTACTCTGATGAATCTCCCTATCCTGACATATTACCCAACCTCAGGGATGAGCGAAAATGTTAATGATGTATTGCTCATCCAGTTCAATCCATCACAGCTCATGACGTATTGCAATGTGTGAAGTGCAGAAACAAAGTAAAAGGCTTTCTTGTCATTGCCTGGCTGTGTTTCACAGTCTAAGTAGAATTTAAATCTACAAAGAAGTCAAAGAGGCTCCCCAAATGTGTCATGTCATGTTCAGCAGTATTATCACCACATGGTCAGTCGTAACCATGACCATTAAAAGCATGAAAATATGTGAACACATCAGCATGATGCTAATATAATGGTGATAGAATGGCCCCAACCAACCATACCTTGGTGATCTGCAAATCAACCAACAGGACTACTGCCAACAGGCAACAAGTGGTATACAACATATGGCAAAGATATATTTCAAGCTATCTTATAACTTGGTGTTTCGTGAAGTCCGTTCTTTATCATATTGCACATGCAACACTGAGAATGTTACAACGATTAACCATTTTGCTAAAGGTTGCAAATTATTCAATACATCTGTATGAAGTTTTGGTGAAATGTTTAAGTACTATGCATGAAGGTTATCCTGTGAAAATGTGAAAAAGTTCCCTTCAAATCACTTTTGCTGAAGATCATACGGTGATTGTATACATTTGTTTGTAACTCTTGCTGTAATCTGATCATTTCTGTAGATGGAGTAGTGATTCTTGTGAAATGTGATTAGATGGACAGTGGGATGGAAACACAATGGGCACCTCACAGTGGCTAGAGTTCACTGGTGTTTTGGCTGGTGTGCTAAAAAAAAAGTCAGTGTTGAAAGCTGCAGTTCCTCAGAGTTCCACAGCAACAAAAGGAAGTCAGTTCCCATAAAATGTTTTGTTAAAATTCCCCAAATCACAGTAGAAACAGACACGTTTAGAGCTTGGTACTACAATAGGAGCTTACAGTCAATTTCCCCTTGTTACGTTCCATCTAGGGGGCCAAGACAACATGAAAAGGAATTCATTTTCAACTTGCAAAAAGAGAATAAATGTTACAGATAATTAAATCATTAGTGGTCATTACACCCACTTTCCCAAGATTAAAACATCCTCCCGATAATGGTTAATTCAAGAGTGAAGAAACACTGATGGGTTAAAGTCAATAGAAACGAAGAGATGATAAAATAGACCTAAAGGACACTTCATCTCCTTTTCAATACAGCGCTATAAATTAGCTAATGCTTGAACTTTAGAGAAGCAGAATGGGATTATCTAAGCCCAGAAGCACTTGAAGTTTGAAAGGCAAGTGGAATTGGGTTCAAGTAGAACTATGGCGCTACACAGTGCTTTTCTTCTTCATCTTTGTTTTTGCATACTTGTATCACATTTTGCTGACTCGTTTTATCATTGATTCTTTGGTCACACTTGGTGATGATGGATGATTTCTACATCTAAATATTTGTCACTCATGTCTCACATCATCAAAAAATGTAATATTAGTGAAAGATAACCGAAGTTAAAACAAAATGCAGTTTTTAAATGATGATTTGATTTAGTATGGGAACAAAGCCCTCCGAACCTACCTGGCCCGGTGTGAATTAACTATGATTTAACAGGTTTTGGAAAGCTGAGCTCAATCGCACTAACTACACCGAGGCCCGATTAACCTGTTAGATCAAAAAATCACTGAAACAGTCTTGCATCTTCCTATGAGTGTCAAGCCAAAATTACTCCAAGAGTGCGTTGATGACTCATGCAGGAGGTCACCAAAAAAATCCAGGGCAGCATTTAAAGACTGCAGGCCTCATTTGCCTCAGTTAAAGTCAGAGTTCATGAGACTGGGAAAAATTGGCATCCATGGTAAAGTTCCAAGGAGAAAACCGCTGCTGACCAAAAAGAACACAAAGCCTTGTCTCACATTTCCCAAAAAACATCTTAATGATCTTTTTGGAAAATATTTTGTTTACTGATAAGACAAAAGCATCTGGCACATAACTAGCACAGCGTTTCATAAAAGTACAACAATAGTCATAAATGGCGGTGCTAGTGTGATGACCTGGAGCCGTTTTATTGCTTCAAGAACTGAACAACTTGCTGTAATTGATGGAACCATGAATTCTGCTCTCTGTGAGAAAATCCTGAAGGAAAATGACAGGCCATCAGTTCGTGACCTGAAGCTCGAGCAAACTTAGGTTATGAAGCAGGACGGGCTGAGCCCCTGAGTCTCAACACCAGCAAGTTTCTCTGAATGGCTCAAAAGAATAGAATGTTTTTGGAGTGGCCTAGTGAAAGTCGAAAAAGAAAAAAGACAAAACAGGTTTTTTGTTCATGTACAAAAACTCTGAATTGGTCTAAATTCCTCCACAGCAATTTTGAAAGACTCATTGACAGTTATCGCCAATTTTTAAATGCACTTTAGAGCAACACGCAGCAACACTACAC